CAATATCTAGGGATACATGGTATCGTAGTCGATTTGCAAAGCCTGGTTTGATTCATCTAATTTGAGAATTCCCTCTTCCAGATGGTAAGCGATATAAGACTTTTTGAGAGAATGAAAGCATATTCCTTAACACTGGGTCCTCGACTTGTATCTGAGCAAATTTACAATTTGCTTTTTTTATTTTGGTATAACAGAATGAAGTTTAATTTCTACGACCTTTCAACAGTGGGTTTTCAAAATTTGGGCTATCTTGCAACAGCTCAGGTTCTGCGGCAAAGTTTGCGTCTGTCCATCTCTCATTTGTGAGAACTGTTATCGAGAAATATCAACGTGTTTAAAAAAGCTGGCCGCAGGAACAGAGGACATCACGGGGACAAGGTCTTGACACTTTCCCGCTTATATCACATTGATTTCTCAACTTTAGATCAGTGGGACTTTTAATAATAACTGGAAATTCTATTATTATCATCATCGTTGCTGTCAATCTTTGATATATGATGCTGTTAATGCATGTATAGGCGAGCGCTTGCTCAGATGTGTCTACTGTACACGGAGAGGGACTGAGACGTAATGGTTCTTGCTTCATTCGTCAAGAATCTAACAGAAAATGCTACGTGGATCCATATTTATATTGTGTTTTGATCTTACTCTACGCTTTTTTGAAGCCTGTATTTTATTTGAAATGCGTGGGGATGCAATGTTAGCTGCTGCAAGGTCATAGAAAGATTCTTTCGGGGAAGTGGAGAGCACACTGCTAGTTTATCAGATTCAGAAATCTATAAAATATTTCAAATACAAATTCTGGTGGATATTACAAGTTACGCTTTCCTGGACTTTAGTTTCACTCAATACTTTAAGCTATTGCAAGTGAGAGTGCGCTGTACACTCAAGAATCAGAACCGAGTTTGACTTTTTTCTAAATTTTGACATATTTTAAGATCATTAGAAGTATAGTATATGTGTTTTCCAATTTAGGACGTGAGTATGGTTTGCTGTTCCACGATACTTATTTTGAGCCAGCTCCCGAGGTAACAGAGGCTCTTCGTCGCCTCAACATGAAAGAGCCGCATCTTTTTGATGAACGAAAGGTATTTTACTTTTATATGTCCTATTTTAGTTCAATCAGTTTTCAAAAGTTTAGATGCGACTTTCTCATGCCCATACACTTGCTCTCCACGGAGAAAAACTGCCA